GGTGGCCATCCACATCCTTTTTAACTCCCAGGGGACTAGTTTTACTCTGTAGTCCCCAACAAACCCCTTTTTAAAATGCCTTAACATACATTCTAAGAGAGTAGAGTTTGAGGAGGAGCCATTACCCATGTTGCAGGGAGGGACCAGGTTGCCTCCTCTTTAAAAAATACCTGAATAAAAGAACTAATCAAAATAAGGCTTATTTTCTAACTTCATTTGTCCTTCGGTGTGGGACAGTAAATGACACTAATTTTATCAGTCTCCCTGAGTACATTGACATAAACTGTTTAACCTCTGTTTAGGGAGGCAAATGCAAATCATTTACTCCCAAGTGTCCTTGGTTTAGGGAAGACAGGATTTCTGCTCAGTTTCCCTATTCTACTTGTCCCAGCTTACTGGCTTGTCAGCCATTCAACTTTCTTTCAACATTTCTTTTTACCTTCTTCCATTACACCAAAGCCATACTTTCCAGGTAGTTAGAGCTCTTAGCCTTAATTTTTAGATGACATGTAAATAATTAACATTCCTCAGATTAGCAATACATTTATATTTTTTAAGACACAAACAGAAATTTCACTAGCTAAACAATTTTAAACAAACAACAAAGACACATATTTAAACAATAAAGACAGATAACATTCCCCATTAAAAACTTTGAATCACCACAGAAACTCGGGGGAGGTTTAGAAGGGTTTTTTAAAAAACAAAACAGAAACAAACAAACATAAAAACACTTTTACACCGGAACACGCCACATTTACACCACAGAATACCCCCAAATAAGTTTCAGTTGTGCAGAGATACAGAACAAGTCCCTGAACAGAGGCAGTAGAAAACTGCCTAGGAAAGCTTCTCTCCTACCTTTTTCAAAGGCAGGCCAGACTCGGACCCTTTTCAAAATTTTCCAAAATGCAATTGACAACAGTGGGTTTACTTTTTCCCAAGCCCATGATGATCGGTGGTGAGAGACAGACAAGGGTGCAGGGAAATTTACTAAAAGCCTGGAGGGTCTCCTTAATGAAAAGATCCTTAATTCAGCACAGGCAGGGGGCAGAGTCCTTAAAATCTCTCTGCCCTGGGGAGCTGTGAGCCCCACCCCTGAAAGTCCCAGTCAGACAAGAAATACCTTTAAATCTACCCCAGAATTCCAAAATTTCAACCTAACACAGCAAAATCACAGAGCAAACCAAAGCCCCTGGTACACAAACATAGAAATTTTTACTACGTGGGCTGATTCCTCCCATGATAGCAAACGTGTCTGAGAAAACTAACAACAGCACTGCTTGAGACTTTTGCAGACCATCACGGGTTCAGCCTTCAGCAAATCGAACATTTTAACCAGATGAGCGAACAGAGAATCAAAGTAGCTTTCACTTTTACACAGACCAGTTAATCAGCAGATAATTATGCCAAGACAGACAAACATCTGTACTCACACTCTTTCAATAGACTAGCCCAGACTGCAGCTGAGCAGATAATGCCCAACTCCCTAGATGGGCATGCGGGCACTCCTGGCACCCATGCCCCAGGCTAGAATTCTCGACCGATGTCTCAGTGAGAACCTACCAGAGGAGTTAAGACTGCATCCAGCCTTCCTTTTTGGTAGCAAATTGGCTAGTGCCACACACAAACTGAAGAGTGAATCCATAATTCCTTAATCGAATCTGAATTCCCTCACCTCTGGAGTCCTGATTCTTGATTTACCTGACGAAGTCCCATGACTTCCGGGGAGGTAATCAAACTCCCCCTTCCACTCACTTGGAGTGGGCCTGACTGACTGGAACCCCTACCTTACCGATTCTGTTGACAGGTCCAGAGGTGTTCGTCCACTTTCTCCAGATGCTGGCCGGGTCCTGGGCTGAGGTCCCGGAGTGCCTGGAGTTCCCCCTGGTTCAGTTCTGCTAAAATCAGCAGTGCACACCTTCCGGAGGCCTGTCCTGCACCCCTGGGCCCCAAACCTCGTTTATTAACACTAGTGGAATAATTTCCAAATCAGAGTGAAGAAACATGCAGAGGGCTTCACTTTTTATAACCTTCTGGGGTCTTTGTCTTGCAGATATGGTTCCACCCCCTTTTGTGGGCTTATAGGAAGGCCCCCAGGTGTTGGGGGTCTCCGGGGCCAGCGATAATGACCTTCCCCTCCCCCCAAGGGCAGTGCATTTGTTCACAGTTTTTATGGCCTTACACACCTTGCAAGACCAGTTTCCTCCTCAATATATTGGGCCTCTCCTCTACTTTACTCTCTCTCAGGTTACAGGGATACTTGCCCAGACTCAACCTCTTGAATTCCCAGTACATCTTTACCTACCCAGTGATCACATCCTGATCAAGACCTGAAAGGAGGACAAACCTGAGCCAGCCTGGGAAGGACCTTATTAGGCGCTCTTCACAACTGAGGCCACCCTTTGCACTGTAGAGAAAGGTTGGACCCACTATACTCAAATTAATGGAACTTAGTCCTTGGATCAGGAGAAGCAATGGGCTGTTACCCAACACCCAGATCCTCTCAGGCTAATGGTGAAAAGACTCTGATTATCCCATTAATTCTAATTCTCTTAAGCCTAAGGGTACAAACTAATGTAGCTAAATTTTTTACTAATGTAACTATGGGTACAGATCCCCTGACAATACAATTTGATGCTTGTCAGGTCATACCATGTGGTAGTCTTGCCAGCCAAAGACAACTTTCCCCAAACATAAGTACCTTTGCCCTTCTCGAGAGGGAGACCTCCCTGGCCCCTCCTGGAGTATGGTCTGGTGGACTACTCAGTACAATGGGTGGACTGCTCCCACTTACAAATATGGTCGGTGAGGAGCCCTCTTGGTGGCTCCTTGGCAGGCATCACAAAAGAATCTAGTATCTCTAGTACAAGGGACTCCACCTCATGACTGTCAAAACTTACAATGTAATCCACTTCTATTAACCATGGAATCAGGAAGTAAATTAACGTTTACACAGTGGTTTGGTCTTGGTGCAGACATATCAGGCAGAGACCCCGTAGGAATGTAGGAACATTAGGCATCTGCTGGAGGCTAGGAACAGTAGTTAGCATAATAAATGTAGGAGTCCATCAAAAGGTTGATGGATACCTTCAGCAGGGCTGAAAATCTGCATGTTATTACCTGCTGCTGACACAGCCAAAGGCAGTTCCCCTAACCTGATAATCTTTTATTGTTTACCAGGCCTTACCTTTGATATGTATATCTGCTTTGCTAGAGGGCAAAATGTGTGAATAAAAAGCCCTGGATGCAGAGATTCCAGGAGCTTAGTCCCTAGAACTAAGTTTCTCTCTGGCCCTCCAAAATCCCTTCCAAATTCATATTTCTTCTTTAGCCTCTTCATTCATTTATGCACAGTCCTTTTCCAGATTCCTGAACCCTTCTAGATGCTGAGAATGACCCCAGCAGGCATCCAATTGGTTACCCAGCCTAAGCCCTTTCTGAGTCCTAGTTCCCCCAGTCAGAGCCCTAAATAGGTTGAACAGATAAGTCATAACCAATTCCTCAACTCCAGTAATGACCCTACCAAAGTCACCATAGTAGAGGTTAGAGACCTTCACCAAATTATAACGATTGAGGTTGGATATGGGGAGACAAATGCCTGGCTGGAATGGATTAAATATTCTGTCCATGTTCTAAACAAAAGTGACTGTTATGCTTGCATGACAGGGAGGCTGGAAGCTCAAGTAGTGCCATTTCTACTTGGATGGACCTCACACACTGTGGGCATGGAATACATGATAGCCCTCTTTCCAGACAGCCAGGCCTGGGTCAATGAGTCTTGTAGGACCTTATCACTGCTGTTCCTAACTGCAAAAGGTCCAAGGTAAGAGCCTTCAAAAATTGTCAAGCCCCCAACCCTGAATATTAACTACACCTTGTGCCTCTCCAGGTCGGGGGAGCAGTCAGTATTTCTGGGCAATGTGACTGAGTGCAGTCAAGGCTGATCCTCTGAGGAGTTAAGTAATCAGTCTACACTGACTATAGCCAGAGCAGATGTCTGGTGATATTGCGAAGGCCCGTTGCTTGAGACTTTACCAGCCGATTGGAGTGGAACTTGCACTCTAGTTCAATTTGCCATCCCTTTCACCTTCGCATTTCTGAAAGGGCGAGGGCTACACCCTCCATCTTGCCCTGAATCCTCCATTTTTGGGCAGCAGCCATGTGCTCAGCAAGGAGCTTCTTCCCAGAAGCCCAAGCCTCTGCTGGCCACACCTAGGATTTCTTTAAACTAACCAATGATAATCAAGGGAAGTGCGCGCCATAGATACAACCACATCCTGTGTAATAAGACACCAACTTGCGCCTGGCCAATCGGCAGGGCCGACAGTCCTCTCCCCTCCCCTTACTCCAACCCCCATATAAAACCCTGCTCCACACAAAGCTCTCGGGCCCCCCTGCTGCTGCGTTGGCGAGTGTGGTGGACGGGGAGCCCGAGCTAGGTCGAATAAAGACTCTAATGCTTTTGCATTGGACTCGGCTGGCTCCCTGGTGTGGTTTCTTGGGGATCCTGAAATCTGGGCATAACATTTGGGGGCTCGTCTGGGATCCCCAAGACCCTTGAGGGACCCCCAATTCAGAGAGTCTGACTGGCCACGGTAGGTGTCTGTGTGTTTGTGTGTTCTGTCCTGTGTGAGCTCATGAGGGACGTGTATTCCCCTTGAAGATCTGAGACAAGGCGGGTCGCTCCCGCCGGTTGGCGTACTGCCATCGTCTAGCTTTTGGTTTTGCTTCCATGGAGTTGGAAGATTGTTTTGGTTTTGCTTCCATGGAGATTGGAAGACTGTGCTTTTGGGCCCTTTAGCTGTCTGTGTTTGTGTTTTTTTCTGTTTTATTTTGTGGACTTACTGGATGGACATTATGGGACAGACTCAAACTACTCCTTCAAGTATTATGATTGATCATTTCAAAGAGATTAGGGGAGGCTATAGAGCTCCCTCAGGAATTGGGAAATTGTTAGAAATTGGATGGATTGTTTAAACTCTGAATGAATGTCTGGTGAAAGTGTGTGAGTGTGGAGGGAGGG